CTCAGTTTTGAAAAAAAAAAAAAAAAAAAAGGACAGTACTTTCTTAATGCACAGACAGGCTGCAGTTTGTATCATGAAGGCTTATTTTGGTGCTGTTTCTTGAAGTCAGGTGGCCTTCAAGATACTTCCAGGCACCTGGACATTTGCGTCAGTCTTAAATTGTTCATAAAGAACAAAATCTTTGAGCTCTTTAACACACAGGTGGCTTTTGATTCCTTTGTAGATGATGTCTAAAGTCAGGCCTGGGCATAAACGGTCAGCAGTAGTGAGAAAAAGAGCGTGTGCACTTCTGTGACTCTTGGCATGATGTGGAAGGTCATAACTGAAGAATTTCTGCAGCCATGAGGATGAATTAACTACTGGAGCTCAGAGAGCAGGAAAGAAAGTTAAAGAATTGATGTGTGAGGAAGAAGTACTGACTGCAGGATAACTCATGCTCTCTTGGCAGCGTATTTGCTGTGGGTGGAGTAGCTGCCTATTGATTACAGTCATGGGCAGCAAAGTGTCTGGGTGTGCAAACTTAGAAATCCCAAAATTTCAGGCCAGCTGGTTGACCTCTTAAGCCTTGTAGCCAAAACAGGAGCTTAGTGATTAATTTTCCTTGCAGCAGCAGAATGCTGGCCCGCATCCGTTAATGGTGGTGTGTTGTAGCTGCATGCACCGCGGTCAAGGCAGGTGGAAGCTAATGGACGTCTAGGGTAACAGTGAAATACTGCTTTCTTATGAGTTTGCTAGAAGGTGATATTGTCTGCAGTAAATGTTGCTTTGCATCTAGGAGTGACAATAATGTAGCATCACTAGGACTAAACCCTGCACAGACCCTGGTAATTTGGGAGCTAGTTTTCCACAGTGCAACGAGAGCAGTGTACAAATCCTTTTGTACATTCTGGGATGGATTTCCTCATTACTGTGTCACTGTTGCACCCTGTTGCATCTCTCTAGCATACTGAATTTTTTTTCCCCCACTTTTCACCCTCTACCGTATGTGAAACCTAAGACTTAGGGCAGTTACAAGCATGAGGAAAATCCCCCATCTTTGTGACGATGCAGCATGCTGATCATGAATGTTTTTAGCCCATTAACAGAGTTTATGGCATAGAGGGCAACATTGGCGTGAGAACATCGGTGTTTCCAAACCACAACATCTGAGTGTGGTATTTTCCTCCTCTTTGAGCAGTAAGGCAGAAGAAGCAAGACTTGAAGTGCCCCTGTGACTGTTCCTTTAACACTTCTTCAGTTGTAATCCCCCTTTCCTCAGTGTCACATTACACCCCAGGCTCAAATTTGAGTCAGGTCTGTGGTCTCATCTTGGTGAGCCAAGGTGAAAGAAACGCGCTGCTTCTAGGTAGTCACAAAAGGAGGAATTTTCTCTTTTAGCACAAAAAAAGCCCTGTATTTTCTCTGATCAAGAAACTAATACATGAGTGTCTCTCTAAGATGGAAAGGCTTGTAGTTTGCCTCCTGTAGATCTTCTGAAATTAGGGGAATAAAAACAATGTTGTCTTCTGCAGGAGAGCATGGGTCTACTACTTTGACGACCCTTCCTGGTCCTGGCAGCAGATTAGACTTGGAGACTGTGGCTTTGGTACGCACCGTGAGGCGTGAGAACGTCACAAGCCTTGGCCTCAAAGCTGTGGGGCCATGATCAAGCTCACACGTTTCCCTGAAATCTCCAAAAGACTTTCCTGGAAGCCCGCAAATCTTCCCTGCCTGTGTAAGCATCAGAAATAGCCTTCATTTCTGAAGCTGGTGCAGGACATCTTATCTTGTGCCTGGCCATGTTTAATTCCCCTCACTCTGTTAATAGGACTGAGCATTCAACATGTGGAGACAGAATGGTCCCTTTTTTGGGTATTCAAATTAAGGCATTTTTCAGAGCAGTAACTTTTCCTATGGCATATTTGAAAATCGGAAGCTACTTCTGAGGTGTCCTATGCTAGACATACGGTGTGTCTGTGTCTATCTGTTGACTAGGTATTTTTATGCTGTATTTCATACTAGGCATTTCTTCTGCATGAGCTGTCTAAGAGCTGTGTAACGCTCAAATCATTTTTGGCCTGATTTTAAATCCAGAAGTGGGAAAAGTTTGTACAGCTAACATAGACTGATAATCAGGCTCAATGTTTGGCTCCTTTTTGAAAGATGAGGATATGGTAAATGTTTTTCTGTAGGCAGTGAAAGAGCCAGAGACAGTAAGCCTTTGTACTGATGCTAAAATGGTTAGCCAGGAATATTAACCAACCTTCTGTAATTAAATTTTCCGTTTGTAATATTTTGATTTTCTGCCATTCTTTAAGTGCAAACTTCATATGGGTTGGTAGTGTATATATAAGTTTCTGATCTTACATACTAAGCTGCAACAAGGAGATAATGACGACTGAATAGAAAATAAAGCATCTTTTGAAGTGTATTTAAGTGGACATTGGTACATGGACACGACCAAGGCATTTAGGAGACGCTTAAGTGCCTTTCAGAGCAGTGCAAGACTATGGAGGTTTTATAGAATGAATATTTTGCTTTTAATGACTTAAGACTTAGTTCTCTTGTGCATATATCTGTTTCTTCTGAAAAGATCATCCTCTGAGGAACTGGTGTTGTTTTATGTATATTGATGAGTCCAATGAGATCTCTTAGCAGTTGATGCCCTTGGATATTGAACTCTTTTATTTGGAGGCTGAAGTATAAATTTAGAAATTTATTTATCAGGCTTGGAAATACTGATACAGTGGTTTGCAGGTACTTCAATAGGATTTGGAGAGCTGGGATTTGTTGAGGCAGTTGCTGCTGTTTTGGCATTCACTGTTGGCTATAAGGAATGAAAAGGTGATCTTTCGGGGTAGAGGAGGCAACCATCGCTGGTTGTAGGAGCAGAGGCAGGACCCATGGCATGCTGAGCCCTGTGGAAACACGTCTTTTGACTTCACTCTGTTTTGGATCAGGGCCCACCCCTCTCTTAAAGTTCCTTTATAACCTATGCGTATTAAAAAAAACAGATGAGGGGGTGGATGTAGGTGCAGTTTTTTGCTCAGAAATCTCAGTCCAGTAAAAATGCATTAAAGCCTCTTTGGTTATTTGTTTTAAATAGGGCAGAGTGTTCTGTGTTTCACAGTGGAAACTGAGCACTGCAGAGCTCCCGACTGTGTTTCCCAGTGGTTTGATGCCACTGCTGGAGGAGGCGCGAGACGCAGCGGCTCCGAGCTCGGTGCCCTGGCCCACGAGGTGGTGGTGGCGGCACCCGCTCCTGCCGAACGTGCCCCAGCAGCTGCCACGACTCCGGTTTGCAAGACGGCCTCTTCACGTGCCTCCTTCTCTCTGAAGAAGGCTTCTTCCCTCTCTATGTGTGCCTCTGATCTTAGTTGGAGA